TACTCCAGCCTTGCCATCTCATGTTTTTTTCTGTTCCTGGACCTTGAACTCTCAGAATGGGTGCTGTCCCTAAGCTCCTTTTGCTCAAGGTTAGCACACGAGAGCCACAGCTCCACTTCCTGCTTTTCTGTGATTAATTGGAGATAAGAGTCTCTCAGACTTTCCTGCTTGGCCTGGCTTTGAATTGTAATCCTCAAATCTCAGCCTCCTGAATAGCTAGGATTATAGATACGTGCCACCAGTACCCTGCCATCTCATTCTTTTTAAAACAAAGATCCAACTATGTCATTTTCATTTATGACTCTGTTATGAATTGTATCTCACCAAAAATTGTTGAAACCCCAAGCCCTAGTGCCTCTACAGAAGACCTTATTTGTAAGTGAGGTCTTTGCAGATGATGGAGTCAGGATGAAGTCGTTAGGATGGGACTTAATCTAATTATGGTCTCCCTTTACAAGGGGAAATTTGGACAGAGAGATGTGTAGATGTTAACAGAAATAAGAATGAGGTCTTTATAAGTGAAAGATGACCAAGACTGCCGGAACATCTCCAAACCTAAAGAAGACAAGGATGGAAGAAGTGATCAATCTCTCATAACTCTCAAATGGAATCAATTTACAAACCACTTTCTCTCTGACTTCTAGCTTTCAGAGCTATGAGACAATACTTTTTGTTAATTTTTATTTTTGTTTAGTTGCTTGAGACAGTATCTCACCATGTAGCCCCGTCTGGCCTCAAACTTGCATACCTGCTTTGTCATAAAAAATGAGCATTCCGACAAAGAGTTTTCACTATTACTGTGTACTTATCCCCACAAAAACTCATGTTATAGTTTAGTCATCACTGTAACAGTATCAGGAGGTAGGACCTTTAGGAGGGAGTAATGACATTGGTCAAAAGGGAGTTCAGCCTGTTTTGTTCTTTGCCCTCTCACCTTCCTCCTCACCAGATGCTATCAGGCTCCATACTGGACTTCCCACTGCAGATTTGGACGCCAGTATAACTCTGTTCCTTACAAATTATAGTCTGTGCCATGCTGTTGTAGCAGTACAAAATAAAGTGAAAACATAAGTTTAAGCAACAAAGGCAGTAATAAGACATTCGATAGGAAGTGTTGAAAAATTCTGACAGTGCAACGGGAAGGCTAGGAGGCAGAAACTAGAAGGGAAGAAGAAATTATAACATTGGCCCAGGAGGGACAATATTCAAATAAATGTGATGCCAGGGAGATAGAACAGAGAAAATGATTGAAAGGGTGTGAGAGAGAAAGAGACAGACAGACAGACAGACAGAAACACACACACACACACAGAAATGAAAGACTAAAAGAGAGTACCTATCCAGTGGATGAGAACAGACCCACACAAAGATATATCATCCAAATACCAGGTAGGCATGAAGGGAAAAAAAATCCAAATAATGTCCAGAAAGGAAAATAAATGGCACACCAGGGATCATAAGTCAGAAAGTCATCAGACTTTTGAACAGCATGGACAGGATTAATTCTTTCAAAATTTGGAGAGAAAATGACTCCCAGTGGGTACTTTTAAGAACAGAAATAGACTCTATGTCTATTTTCCCAGCTACAAAACCTGTAAAAAATATTTATGTCCCATCCATTCTTAGGAACCTAGTAGAGGATGTGCTTACTAAAACAAGGAAGTAAACTAAGAAAGTGGAAGGCGTGTGGTTCAGAAATTGGAGATCTGGTCCAGAGGGCCAAGAAGGGGCTTCTCATGATGACAATGAGGGGACATTCTGGTGACAGGAGGAACCTCTCCCAGGGAGCAAAAGAGGAATGGTTGGGTGTCCATGACTCACACCTGTAATCCTAGCTACTCAGGAGGCTGAGATCTGGGAGGATCTCAGTTCAAAGCCAGCTTGGGCAGGAAAGTCTATAAGAGTCTCATCTCCAATGAACCAACAAAATAATGCAAGCAGAGCTGTGGCTCAAGTGGTAGAGCACTAACCTTGAGCCAAAAAGCTCAGGGATAGTGCCTGGGCCCGGAGTTCAAGCCCCAGGACTGGCACAAAATAATAACAACAACAACAACAACAACAAAAAGCATACACTGATACCTTGATCTTTTTTTTGTATTTTATCTCTGATAGAGAGTTTAATATAGCCAGGCACTGGTGGCTCAGGCCTGTAATCCCAGCTACTCATGAGGCTGGGATCTGAGAATCCCAGTTCAAAGCCAGCCAGGACACGAAAGTCTGTGAGACTCTTATTTCCAATTTAACCACCAGAAAACAGGAGGTGGTGCTGTGGCTCAAGTGGTAGAGTACTAGCCTTGAGCTGAAGAGCTCAGGGACAGTGTCCAGGCCCAGAGTTCAAGCACTATGACTAAAGAGAAAAAAATAGAAAGAGAGAGTTTAGTACAGTATTCATAATAAGTACATGGAGGTCATCAAATGAAAAAAATATACAAAAATTGTGTACAACTTAACTCGGCATGAATATCAGGGTATCATTGTAAAAACTTGAATATTGATTTAACTGAAAAGGGCTCAACAGAGGAATGTGGAAAGTATGGGGATATAGACCATTCTGTGAAGGGTCTATAAAGGAGTACATTGCCTGCAGAGAACCTAAAAACAATAACAACACCAAGAGATACTCCTCTTTAGTTTATTACCACAATACACAAGCCATTTGAAACACAGTGATAAGATATCCCTCTCTGTGAAAGTCTGAGTAAGGCATGAGCAATTTCCTGCAGCTAGATAGACTGACACCACTGAGGCAGAAAAAGAGATGAAGGTTGCAGGAGGAAGGGTAGACTTGAAATAGTGAAATCCCGGATGTGGTTGAGGGGGTGATGGGAGGCTGAGATAGAGTTAGCAACCTATTCATGCTAAGGTAGGAAAGAAGCACTCCCATCAATTGGACAGTGATAAACTACACCCTATTTGATGGGTTTTGTCTCTTAATTCGACACTGTCTAGAATCGTAAATCTTTTTGATTTTTATTAATTTAAACTGACTGCGGATGCTAACCATGTCTGTTTCACTGTCTTCACGCAGCCCCTGTCATCACGGCTTCCCGCTCATGTAGGTTTATTCGCCCTCTCTGATATTCGTAGCACTTTGTTCACTCCCATGTTTTTCTCTCACCAAACTTCTTATTCCCTTTGAGGTCAGTGTTTGTCTCTTTTCTCTCAGTCATCAGTTATGAGAGTCTCTCACACCCTGGTAGAACTGTTGCAACACTATGTTCGGCTTTTCTTTGTAGTTTGCTTGGGTCTGCACAGGACCAGGCTCTAGTAGGTATAGAATGCTGCTGCTTCCTGCCTACCAAGTAAAAGAAATACAGATCTGTTCCCTTCAATGAAACATGACTGTTAAACTTCACTTCCTCTGGTTCCAGGTTGTGAAACCAGACTGGGCAGATTGACCCTCAACCTGATAGTCCACCTTTAAAATGATCAAGGGACCTTCCGTGGAGCCCTGCTGCAGAGCCCACGGTGAGGGTGAGGACGGTTCCCACCAGAGTGGAAGCTCCTAGCAGGCTGCTGTTCTGTGGTGTGATCAGTCCTATAAGAACAATGCACACCATGTTCTTGTATCCTGAAAGTACTTAGGTGCTTCTTGACCTTTCTCTGCAAATTTCTAGTTGGAAGTAATTATGCAACGAAGAAAACAGGATCCTTTTTACTTTGCAGTGTTACTTGGGGGAATCACAAGAGGGTTGGCAGTTCTCTGAAAAACTATTTCTAGATTGTTCTCTAGAATCATTTCTAGAATTTTGCTCCAACGACTCCTGTTAGACTCTGTGAGCATCAGACTAAGAAAGAAATCAGCATACCATGAGCAAGTGGAGGAGAAAGGCTGATTAGTTTGCTAATTGAGATCAGACACAAGAATTTTCTAGAGAAATCAAAGAAGCAAAGTAATTCTAAGGGGGACCCCCCAATGAGTAGAATTTTACTAATACAACTTGATAGGGTTCATGGCTTCTAACAATATGTGATCAGACATCTTTACCTCATCACCTGACCTGGGAGATATCATCCATCTTCATTGCTGAACCCATAGTTACTGCTGGGCCACACTGGCTCCGGGCACTGTGCAGCATACACTGAATTTTTATTTAGTCAACAGAACCCAGGGCGCTCCACAATCTTCACATCCAATTCGAGCACTTGGGCTTTTCCACTTGGAGGTAAGAATGTGCGCTCAAGATAAGCAAATGGCGTTTGGATCTGGAATGGAGCTTTTATAAAATGTACATTCGGAAAAAAAGATCTGGTTTGAATAAAAGAATTAAGCTGCCCAATTAACAATAGCTGCTTGTGTGATCTGCTGCCCTTTATAGAAAACATCTAAATAATTGATATCTTGAATTGGGTTAAAGAGATCGTTAACGCAAAGGTATTCTATAAATAAAAGGATGCGTAAATAAGAGAGTAACCTTCTTTTCAGATCCTTCTCTTAAAGAGATTGTGTGTATGCGTGTGTGTGTGTGTGTGTGTGTGTGTGTGTGTGTGTGTTGTTGTTGTTGTTGTTGATGTGTTGTACAGCTAAGATCATTGTTAGGAGACTTAAGAGGCTTTTGGCTGGATGAGTGGAGCTCTCTTAAGGAAAGTCCTATTTGTCTCAAGTGTACTGCCACCTTTCCTAAGCTTTCTCACTGGCAATGACTAATTTGTTTATCCCTGCTGAAGTGACCAGGCACCTGGCCTTGGCTTTTGCAAATAGAGTGAGACAAAAACGTCCAGGTAGGAGGCTGACCTTCCCTTGGGATCTGTCATCATCAGAAAGGTTTAAGTGGCCGAGGGCCTACTTAGAGACAGCTGGGAGAGACATGGAAGGAAAGAGATCGAAAACTGCTTATAAATAAGAGGATGTGGCTAGAGGCGTCTGAATTTCAGTGTGACCTGCTCTGTCAGGTGATTGTTTTAAGTGGGAGGGGGCATGAAGAAAAAAAAAAAGTTAAGTGAAATGTCCTTATAAAGACAAAATCTATTTCTTTCCTGCTGATGATTTGTCATTCTAGTCACTTCCTGCCTTGTGACCACACACCCGGGCTTGACAAAGCTGTTCTGCAGATCAGAAAGAAAGGAGTTTCTGGTCACATACCAGCTCAACTGAGGACCGAGTTTCTACAAGGTAAACTTTTTGGGTGTTTATTTGTCTTTTCTAAGTGTGTTGGGCTCTGTTTCCTGGGGTTGTGGGTTTAGCCTTGAGGGGACGGAAGATCTGTGCACCTGTCACCCATGTGTGCTCTGCCTCCTCTGACTGCTGTAACCCCCGCAGCTGCCCTGTGGGACTGTCTGGGGTGGAGTCCCCTCTGCTCTCCTAGCTGGGTTCTTAATTTACCTTCAGTTATCAGCCTTCCAAAACTAGTATTCTTTTTTATTTTTTCTTTTTAAACCAAACTATGATCTGCATTATGCCTATTGCTTTAATTCAGGAAAGCTGTTTACTGTGATTTTTTTTTTTTTGCCTACTTTAAAATGTCTTCAGGAAAGTGCATATCGATCACTTAGATTGTGGTGCTTTAATGGGGGCAGTTTAATTTTAGCTTCTGTGGTTCTGTTTCTCTACAGAACTTCTCCATAATACTTTAGTGGATACATTAACTTCTTGGGTCATATGTTCCTGAATGTGATACTATTATTTTTAAGTGAATTGGGGTGCCAAGGGTTTTTTAATGAGTAGACTTAATGACCACATGGAATTAGAGGTCTCCTCCATTTATCTTCTAAAACAAAAGCAACTTGTGTTTCTTCATGGTACTGTATTTTTAGGATTAGCTGAGTTATTTGTCAGTGCTTATGGCCATATAATTAGATTTCCTCAGTTAAATTCTTCAGGAAAACCTTGGGTCTACAAAGGAAATTCTTTTAAACTTTGTAGAAGCATATGAAAGATTTGAATCATGTAGTATCAGTTACAAATTCAAATTTGAAGCATTTTTACATCATATACTACCAGCTTTTATTTACATATCATTAATTTATTTATCTAATATATCATCATGACATAGTTTTAAGAACCATTGACAGATGATGAAATTATCCAGACTGAGATTGGATACAATAGTCAGTGTGCTCACCAAAATCCACTGTTTCTCAGTCAAGTATTAGCAATTTATTTTCTATGATTACTCCTCAAAACAACTTTGTAAAAATAAAACAAAACAAAAAAACCTCTTACTGAACAACAACAACAGAGTGGCTTTTCCATTGGCAGCTTGATTTCTTGCTCACCAAGAATTGTTATAATTGGTTTCTATTAAGTAAAATTATTCAGATAGGTCTGTATGGGCAAATTTGAATGGAAGTTACCATTTATCTATCAATGTGAAATTCTAGAAGTTGCAAAGTATGAGATCTCGCCCAAATCATTTAATACTAGCAAAAATGTGGGAGCCTAAAGGACTAGAATATATACTGTTTTAAGTAAAACTAATGATGAGAATAAAATGATCAGGGTGTGAAGGATGAAATAGGAATTAAAAATAATAACGTTATATTGATCTGGTTATGCTACAGCATCGACCAGGGAAATTCTCAAGTATCCATTCCTCTTTCTTCTTGCTCATGTCCAAGGACATCAGAGAGGATTTTTGGGGTCTTTTCCTCAGAAGAAGTACTGCTGAGGTGGAATTGAATGGAATGGTGTTTATAGCAATCTCAGGGAGGCTTTTCTGTGTAGCATTTAAATTTTCATCTCCTAGCTGAATGCTGGTGGCTTACACCTGTAATCTTAGCTACTCAGGAAGAAGGCTGAGATCTGAGGATTGCAGTTCCAAGCCAGCCTGGACAAGAAAATTTCATAAGACTCTAATCTCTAGTTAACTACCAAAAATTCAAAAATGTAGTTATGGCTCCAAGTGCAAAAAAGCCTTGAGCAAAAAAAAAAAAAAAGCTCAGGGATAGCACTCAGACCTTGAATTCACACACATACAAATCATCTCTTTTTGTAAATCAAATTATGCCCCATAACAATCAGGGATAGAGAACAAAATTTAAGTATTTTAGCTTGTTTTAAACTTCTATGGCTAAGTGCTTTGAGGAAGGCATCGTCAACAAGTAAAGCCTCATTTGGATGTCTGCATTTAAACTAGAGAGGACAGGAAGAGAACTTTTGAACCAGGCACGTTCTGACCTTCCTAACAGAAAATGGCTCCCTGGGGCTGGGAAGGTGGCTCAGTGATAGAGTGCTTGCCTTGCATGCATGAGGCCCTGGGTTCAATTCCTCAGCACCACATAAGCAAAAAGAAAAAAGCCAGAAGTGGCGCTGTGGCTCAAGTGGTAGAGCGCTAGCCTTGAGCTGAAGAGCTGAGGGACAGCGCCCAGGCCCAGAGTTCAGGCCCCATGACCAGACCCCCCCCCCCCAAAAAAAAAACAAAAAACAGAAAATGTCTCCCTGTCTGCTTAGCACCTACACACATCCTCCTGAATGTTTCAACCATCTCTATATGACTTATAAAAATCTCATACCATTTAATGCTATGCCCATAGTTTTTTTATACTGCATTGTCTTGGTAATGGTGACAAGACAAAATCTGCAGGTGGACACAAAAGTTGTATAGACTTAATGTTTTGTCAAGTTGGTTGAGTTTGTGGATGCAGTGCTCAGGGACATGGAGTTGACTGCCATAATAACACTTTGTGTTTCTACGTACTTTGTATGTGTGGCCGCTTTGGATGCCTGACCTCTTAACTACCATTAGAGATCAGAGATAGGCTTAGATGTTCAGAGATGCCCCAAGGTTACAAGCAGTGGAGGCAGGGCAGTAGGTGGCCAGGATCCCAAGCTCTGTGCTTCCTCTGTCCAACAGAGCCCTTAGGTACCATATGCTGACTTCTATGGGGATTATAGGAGTTCATGACTAAATCTGACCAAATGCTTCCAAGTTTTGAGACAGAGAAAGAGGAAGACAGAGAAAGCGAAAGATAAAGAGGAAAAAAAAAAGAAGAAACTTGCAATAATCCAGATATACTTTTTTTTTTTTTACCATTTATCACTGTAGACTTCATATTTTCTTTTAATTAATGCACAGTTTTGCTGAGAAGTTTGAACCTTCACAGTCTTGCCTCAACCCACTTCCTCAACCTCATTTCTTGTCACTTCCTTCTGCTCTAGCTCTCACATACACCCCATCCCCTCCCCCACCAGCCCGCCCATATTCTGGGTGCACCAGACCACAAGCCACCAGAAAGTTCCATGTTCTTTCACTCCTTTTCTCTCCAACTGTTTCTTTAATGTACCTTCTTTATTCATTACATTACTGGTTGTTTTTCAAAATTCGTTAAGAATTGTGCCCCCTAGTTATCTCTCTATTAACTGTTGTGTTTGTATATTTGCTTGATGCATTACTTTTCTTTATTTTAATCTTAAAGCATAGCATTGATCCTATTGAATTAATTGCTAATCTTTATTTGCTGACACATTTGAGTTTCTCTCTCTCTCTCCAGGCACATATGATGTGCTAATGATGTTTATCAAAACACATATTTGTTCTCAAATTTTCTAAAAATCAATTTCTGATATACACATGGAAGTCTTTGATTTCCCTCTCAAGCGTGGTATTTACTGAATTCTCATGGTGATTGCTAAGAGAGAAGATAGAATGATAGCCTAATGTTTTGTGTCTATCACTCTTCATCTCTGTTAAAGCCCCATTCTTTCATTATAGCCTCAAAACTGCAAGTAGAGCTTGACCACAAGAAATTTCAGAAAGTATATAATGATTTTAACCTATAAGAAAAATTATAATCTCATTTCAGCCTAAATACACTCATAGAACTAAACTTTAGTTGCACTCACCAAAATTATATACACAATAATGGGCTTCTTTGAAGGCAAAGAACATAAGAATGTATATCATTAACTTTTACTTAGTGGATTTGACTTATTCTTAGAAAATCCTTAAGTCTCCTTCAGGCCTCTCCATGTATAGAGGAAAGACTGAAAACAGACGTTAAAATCAAGGTAGGTAAAAGAAAGTGTGGAATTTTCTCATAAGTTCACATTTATGAAGATGTTTATAAAGGCATTAGACTTTATGGCTAATACAAGAAAGGTATTCTTTAGAATAATTTAATTTTTCTCCTAGGATATTTTGTGGGGTCTGGTTGTTTCCCAGCTCACAAACTTCAAATTAAGTGACACTATTACCGCCCCCCCCCCCACCTCTCTCTGTTTTGTTATCAGTCCTGGAGCCTAAACTCAGAACCTGGGAGCTGTCCATGAGCTTTTTTTGCTCAATGCCAGCACTCTGATACTCCAGCCACAGTTCCATTTCTGACTCCTTGCTGGTATTGGTGATAAGAGTCTCATGGACTTTCTGCCCAGAGTGACTCTGAAGCAGGATCCTCAGATCTCAGCCACCTAAATAGCTAGGATTATAGGCATGAACCATCTTTGTATTAAATACTATAAGAAATAAAAAATGGAATTAAAGCCACAAAAGTATATAACTTAGCAGACTTGAAAGGTTTCAAGTGTCTTCTATTTTGCCAGATGGACAATACATAACTCAAGTCAAAAGTGCTCCTGCTTCATATAGTTTCCATATTGAAGTTCTAAGAAGTTACCTCCTGATTAGACACGTATCTTCCTATGAACAGCTGCTGGACATACAGTGCTCCCAAGGTGGTGGCATCCTGTTCCTTTCCTCTGTCCCTCTGGTTCCACTTCCTGTCTTACACTAGACCTTTCCTGTTGTTTTGGTTTGTCAATTTCAATCATTACAGCAGTCTTCCCAGCAATTGCCTAAGTACTCTGTCTTTCAAGATAGTCAAGCAATGGAAGGCAGGGCAGGGCAGGGCAGGGCAGGGCAGGGCAGGGCAGGGAGCAGTTGCAACCTAACATCCTGTAATAATCACTTATACCTACTCACCACTTACTTTGAACTGGTTATTTTTCTAAATGAAGTATTCATGATTATCACAACAGTCCTGTGACATGGTCATTGGAATCATCTTCATATTTGATGACCAGTTCATTCATTTATGTATTTTGTTTAAATTTTCTACAATTGCATCAATGTTGTATCAACTGTGCAATTTCAGAGCAACTTTCTAGACTAACATGTAGCAAACCGTGGTGTTTAAATATGCCCAAATTCTCAGGTGGAGCTCAAATAATTTTCATTT